TCTGAACATTAATACTACTAATATTTTATATGTGAAAAGAAATTGTAGAATGATAAAAGGATAAAAAGATATAGAGAGTTCTTATCTTAAAAATATATGGTTCGAATGTGTGTAGGTTGTTAATAATTAAAAGAATTTTTGAACATATTATACTTTATAATCAAACTAATTGTTAAAAAAGTTGGAAAAGAAATTATGATTACCAATATTTTAAACGAGTCAAGAATCTAAAAGTAAGCGATGGTATCATATTTTATTTAATTTTGTGTATATTATTTATGAGGAGGGGAAGGAAAAGGCAGGGGCTGAGTCTGAGAGAGATCTGTGGCATCCTTTCATCTCTCTTTGATAATTTACCAAAAAGCTCTTTGTTTTTTAGCTTGGGATCTTTGCTTCTGTTTCTCTTTGAATTTCCATATGGGTTTGTGGGAAGCTTTTCTGAATTGGCTTCGAAGGTTTGGTATTTTCTTTTTGGTTTCTTGCAATGTCACTCTTTTTTATTTCTACTGGATTCAGAATTATGAGTTAGATGGAGTTGGGTTTTATGTATTTAAGCTAATACTTCAATCTTTTTTATCCTTTTGACTTTGTGTTTGATATTGGGCTAGACTAAAATAAGTGAATTTTCCAGCTTTTGCTCGACACTGCTGTCAGATTTCTTCTTCAAGGGTTAAAAATGATACATGTTGATTTTGAATTCAAGAACAAAATGTTTCAATATCTTGGTCATTGCAATTTTAGTGAGTGAATGGTCTTATGTTGTTTTGTTTCTGCGTTAAGGTGGTGTAGATTATGATAATATCACCTTGCAGATATGGAGACCTTTGTTAAAAATTAGATGATTTATATGATCATAGCCTTAGGGGAAGTAGTATTCCTTATAGTAGTGAAGTGAATGCACTAACTTTACAGTATTCTCTCTTTCACTGGCTTCAGCAAGCTATAGTTAGTTATATGATTCATCAAAGTTGATTTTATGTCCATTTATCTTTGGGATTCTAGTTTCAGTTGAAAATGTTGTTTCGATTTTACAAGGCTTAAGGAATGGTTGTTGATTATCGGGTGTTTTTTGTCTGATGGGAAGCTTTTCTTTTATGGAAATTGGAGTCCATGTACTTTTCAGATGGTGTTATATGAACTTTTTATTGAAGTATATCTGGAGCAATCTTCACCGAATGGTACGAAGTTCGATCTTCACAGTATCTATGTTCAACTTTTCATATATGTTGTTTTGCAGCCTGTTTTTCAAGCAGGAAATGGAGCTATCTTTGATAGGACTACAGAATGCTGGAAAAACCTCATTAGTAAATGTTGTTGCAGTAAGTAAATCAAAATCTCACTTGTAAATGCCGTCGCCGGCTTCCAAAGGGTCCATTACTAGTGATCTAGTTCATGCTTTTATCTTATTCTGTGAGTTAACTTTAAGTTGGTTGTTTGTCCTTTTTTCCCCAGACTGGTGGATATAGTGAAGATATGATACCTACGGTGAGTCATATTATCTAAGTGGATTTGTATTAATTTGTAAGCTCACTGCCATGATTTTACAATCCAATGCTTTTTTAGTCCCTTTCGTTCCGCAATCGTAATGGCTTCTTTTCAGGTTGGGTTCAACATGAGGAAAGTGACAAAAGGAAATGTTACGATAAAGTTATGGGATCTTGGAGGCCAACCTAGATTTCGTAGCATGTGGGAACGATACTGTCGTGCAGTTTCTGCAATTGTGTAAGAAGCTACTTCTTCATTTTCATACTCGTTATTTGCTTTAATAATTCATGGGATCTGTTTTTTCTTGCCATTATATGAATTGCATATACTGCTTTGTATATCTATTAGAATAAACATGGTTTTCTTGCAGTTATGTGGTGGATGCTGCTGATCCTGATAACCTGAGCATCTCAAAAAGTGAACTTCATGATTTGTTGAGCAAATCCTCACTTAGTGGCATCCCTCTTCTGGTGCTAGGTAACAAAATCGACAAGCCAGGTGCTCTGTCTAAACAGGCTTTAACTGAAGAAATGTAAGAGAGACATTCATTCGATTTTCTCGATTAGCTAGACATAGCAGAGTTACAGTGTTTCTGCTTTGCTTAAGAAGTAAAAACTTTCTCATAAAATGGAATATTACTTCTGATGCAGGGGGCTCAAGTCAATTACTGATAGAGAAGTTTGCTGCTTCATGATATCTTGCAAGAACTCAACCAATATTGACTCAGTTATTGATTGGCTTCTAAAGCATTCAAAATCCAAGAGCTGAAAAAATGGGTTTTCTGTGTTTAATCTTTTTGTGATGAATCTGTGTTATATTATTCTAGTTTCGAAAGGGATCAAATTTGTGTTTGAGAATTTCAGCTTGAACTTGATATTATTTGTTAAAAATCTATGCAAATTCTATGAAAATATATAATTATCATTTAAGATATATATATATTAAGAATATTTTAGAATAATATGGAAATATTAAATGTCTAGAAATATTTATAAAATAATGTAATATCTGTAGAAGAATCTAATATCTGTAAGGTTAAATAGCTAAGATATTAACATATGCTCACAATCTATATAAGAATCTAATATCTGTAAGGTTAAATAGTTAAGATATTAACATATGCTCACAATCTAATGACCACTAAAATATATAAATAGGAGTGAGTTTTACTATTGTAATAAGAGTGAAAAAGAGAGAAAAGAGTGTCAAAAGTGAGTTAGAGAAAAAGAGCTTAGAGGAAAAGAAAAGAAAAGTAGTTAGAGGAAAAGAAAAGAAAAGTAGTTAGAGGAAAAGAAAAGAAAAGTAGTTAGAAGAAAAGAAAAGAAAAGTTAGAGGAAAAAGAGAGGAAAAAGAGGTAAGTGTGTAATATTGTAATTGTATTTTGTATTAATAAAAATATTATCTTTTCTTAAGTATATCGGTTAAGCCTTGATTTGTTTCAAGTTGTCAGCATACTTGTGTTAGTTTTATTATATGATTATATTAGAAGTAGAAGTCAATTGACGTTGACATCTTGCACTAAGGTGGTTTTTTTGTTAGATGAGTAGCTAGTTTGATTGTTAATCTGTTGCAGTAACTACTTACATGAATGCATGCTATAAATTCAACATGGTATCATTCGCTAGAATTATGGGGCAATTTTTATCATCATTCTTTCGTCTCTTTTCTCTAAATTCAACATGGTATCATTCGTCAGAATTCTGGGCAGTTTTGCTTAGATTCTGTTGTTTTGTGCTATATCTGTGATGGTGCACGGTGATTCCATCTTTTATGGATCCATCTTTCAGAAGTACAAGGTGTTTACCAACAAGAAGGTCAATGTTGTTCTTGATGAAGCAAACTTCCTCTTGTGGAAACAACAAGTCTTACTTGTTAGAAGTCATCGTCTTAAACGTTTGTTGACTGGTTCGATGACACAGTCATCGAAGACAGTTCTTGATGAGAATGAAGAGTTAGTTTTAAATGACACGTATGATGATTACGTTGCTCAAGACAACGCTCTTGCTTCTTGGTTGTTGTTAGCAGTTTACTGCTGCTTTGGATATAATACATATATTTTATCCCTAAAAATATTCTTTTTGTTGTCATTTGTAAACATCATCAACTCAACGCAAATATTTAATGAATATTAACGATGTTCAACATGTAACTTACCTAGATTATCTTCTAGAAAGCGAATTGCAACCCAACCCCTGATGGCACACCACAGTGTTCCTTTCAACAGGGTCAATCAGATTGAACTTTGCAGGTTCCTTATTTCAAAGTTTCCAAAACCCTGGCCTACAACAAAGAACTTGGATAGCATTATACTGCTGCCATTGGGTAATAATATTCTTTTATTTATCCAAAAAAAAAAAAAAAACTTGGATCAATGTTAGATGAAGAGGGTGACTTTTACTTTTCGCTACAAGAATGCTTGTGTCCTTTGTTACGTTGCTTACCACAGTATTGTTAGGTGGTGGGCCTGTATAGTTAAACGGAATTATAGGATTGCTAGGAAACTCCGGGATGTAAACTCCGTTAGATTGATCGAAGAAATGAGCCTAGAGTAGTGTTTTAGTCCGCATTGCAAACGATACATTATTAACTGAAGCACCAAACTTAGTTCCATTAGGACCTTGGCAGGTTTGGTTATGTTGGTATGGGCTGTTCCAAGACCAGTTGTGAACAAAAAATTATTATTGACCTTCTGGGGCACGACCTTCTGGGGCACGTTCGCAGGATACTTGGTGTGCATTGATCTCGCTACGGATCTTTTTAATTGAAATGCTCGAATGAAAACTATTGATGGTTTAAGCATCACAATAACTAAAAAACGAATAAAAATTTGAAAACCAATGCTACTAGTTTCGAGTATAATTATTTCAAGTTTTACCAACTTTGGAGAATTGAAAAGTATATTTTTATTTAACGGTAGAGATAAATAAAATTCGATTAAAAAAATAAAACTTTCTTTTAATGTTAAAAGATTTGACTTGACTCGTAATTTTATTAATTTGACTCAAAAAAAATTTCAAATTCGAATAAAGTTATAAAATAAAACTCAATTAACTTAAAAATTTTAGTAATTAATTGAATTTCAAGTTCGAATCGAATCTCTCAACTTTACATTATATATATATATGGTTATAAAAAATCATTTACATTAGAATCAAATAGTATCATAACATTAAAAATATTTACAATTAAATTTAAACAAACTCGAATTTCATAAATTCCACTGGACTAAAAATAAAACAAATAAAATTTGATTTATAAAATATTACTCATCTTGAAATTATATTATATTGGATAGTAAAGGGAGCCAAACCCAAAATATGTGGTTTACACCACCTCTGTGTGTCCAAATTATAAATAATGATATTTAAAGATTTATAAAAGTAAAAAAAATCCTACTCCAATCATATTTTATGTCAAGTTGAACATCAACACACAGAACTTATAGTAAAACTTATTCACCACATTTCTAGGCACTAAATCAATTACAATTCGCCTGCGAAGATTATGCCGATCACTACAACAAAGATGTTTTCAGGCAATCATAAATCACGGTTCATGACAGAAACCTGATGCATAGAAAATCAAATCAACCTCTGCACAACATGTAAATTGCAGTTAACGGTCCTCCTACCAAATCAGATTGATGAGGTCGCATCATCTTCTCCGTGGTCCTGGTTAGCTCTGACTAGATGAGGTACTTATCAGTTGCAAGCTCATGTAAATGCTCTATCAGCTGTAATTCCACTCCGACCTGGCAACAATTTCTTCATGTAATACTTAGAGTTACGGGATAGATTAATCTTTTTCCTCCTTTCTTCCGGTATCATGTCAATTGTGCATTCTCCAAAGCCACGCCTTACAAACCTGTAAAATAGAAGTGGGGGTTCAATGTCTACCGGTAAGTATTGGTATCGTTCTATATGCAGTAACTTGAGCATAAATAATGAATGAAATATCAAAAGGACATTTATCATTAAATGGTGCCTGAAAATGATCGAATGCTTGAAATGAAGTTTGTTTCATAAGAAAATACAAACCAGTCAGCAGTACGAGTGGTTAGCAGGAAAAGCATATCCAATCCAAGAGAGGATGCCTTCTTCTCGATATAATCTGCACATATTTAATTGATATAAAAAATACATTATTAGGAATGACAAGATTGGTAGGCCACAACCAAATATCGCATCAAAATGGTCATAGAAACAAAAGGCAGTCAGATCAGGTTGAGCATCATTCTATGGTTAGACAGTGGGAACTGAACTTATCGATGAATGTTTTATAAACAATCTAGCAGCCAAAATGCATGCCCTGTTGGAGTGTGCCTTCCTAAAATTATTCTTTTAGGATGTGTAAATATGCTTCCAATAGATTTGAAATGACAAGTTCTTGCACGGCATCTGTTTCAGCTAAAACATAATAAGTAGCAGAGCATGATCGGGTCTAATATGGCATAGACAATGAAGTTAGAGATGTTTGGCAACATACCAAGCAATTTATCTCCTTGTCCTTGTCCTCGACATTCAGGAGAAACTGCGATACAAGCAACTTCTCCACATTTGTCCTTGAAGAAAGGAAATAGAGCAGCACAAGCAATGATTTGACCTTCCCTTTCCGTAACAACAAATGAATCTAGGGCTTTTAGTAGCTGTGCAAAAAGAAAAGACACAAGAATTTAATATGTTCGCTCAAATTCAAAAGAATAAAGGCATTCCCCCCCCCCCTTCCATTTTGTTTGTTTAATGGCATTTGAAACAAAAACTAATATTACCAAATCTGATCTTTGCAACTAAAACACCCAAGAACTGGTAGAAATAAAGCATGCAAAGTAGGACCAAACTTTTACTCTCATTATTCCAACAAGCACATCGCTGAAAAGTATATGCATAAATGAGATAATTTGGTCAAATTAAAGTAAAAAAGAGCTAATATAGACCTCTTCATCACTCCTGCGAACCAATGTGCCAGACTCTTCTAAAGGTTGTATGATTTGCTTGATTCCAGCAAGATCTGTCACCATAGCCATCCTGGCCCCTTCATATAGATCACTGAAAAACAAGCAATGTCGAGGTCAGCATACCGAATACAAGATAGCTTAATCACTTATTAAGTCTAGCAATGGCAGCTCATATAAACTAAGAAATATCAGCCACATGAAGTTACTCTGAGGTCCCTCATCCTAGCAAAAAGGATATTGGAACAACAAATCCTCTGGTTTGTCCGTTGTCAAATGTTATGAAATTGATCAATGCATGATGCATGACCCAACAATTAAATAAGAAAAACAGTCTCTCAAAACCATGAAAGTTGGAAAAGGAAATTGTTATAGTGATAGAAGGTCCTCTGAAGTATCACTAAATTCAAATAAAATGTACTTGTAATCAATTAGTAGCATATAACATATATTTTAGGTTTAACACTCCACCTCACTGGCAGAGCCCAATGAAACATCGGAATAAGCCACCAGTTATGTAAAGATTGATTACTCTCAAAGCAAACACAAGATACCTAAGGAATTAACCATGTTTTGTAATACATGCCTATCAGCAAATATCTATTTTCCCATAAGGCTAACTGACAAGTTCACTGTATACCTAGCCACCATTGTTCCCATCCCGTCTCTTTTGAACAGTTCCAACAATAAGACCCCACCGATAGTGCCATCTAACAAATGAACTCTTTGGACACCACCCTGACAATAAAGCAGAAAATACAATTGGCATATCGTTTTCACGTAGGAAAGAATCTAAATATACTAAAGCTCAAACAAGCTATGAACTTACTCTGCAGACAAAGGCTGCAGCAGCCAACTCTGAAAGGTAGCCATTATCTCGACTTAGCCGCTCCTGACCTCCAATGGCAAAGCCCTGTTCTCCAGACCATAGTCCATTGCCATTATAAAAACCAACGCCGTTCTGAAAGGTAGGATTATGAGTACTATTAAGAGCCTTCCCATTTTGTGAAGAGTGAACAACTGAAGTATCATCATGTCCACCACTAGTGAGATCTTCTTCATCAACAGCTTTGACATATTTAGCAGCTATCTCACTTTGCTTGGCCCGTTGACGGATTAACATATCTGCTTCTTGGAGCGGCAAGAAATTAACAAGGCGTCCATTCTCATCCAAAATTGGGCCATCGATAATACAAATAAGCTTATCTGCTCCAAGAGCTAATGCACAAGCTGTGGCAACTTCATACGTGCTGAAATTCAGAAAAACATAAAGCATGAGCAGTCAGGTTTTAACTCATTGGGAAGTAAAATAAAACTTCTGCACCAGTTCAAGATGAACCATAAAGTCTTAAGCCGTACCATGGTTGCCCATGAATGACCTATATGCTATGGGTCATAGGTTCAACCTCCCCCCCCCCGGTTGCAGAAACTCCTCAATTTCCACAGTTCTGCCTTGTCAGGCACTTTGAGACACCCCCAACTCTATGAGCCCTCCAGAGCTCTGGACAAAGTCAGGGAGACAAAACCCTGACCAAGGACAATACTTGATGTTGATGTCTCAACTCGATGTATTTACACAGATGCACTCCGCAGATAACACTTAACAAACTTCTCTGGGCAGAGCTCTCCGCAGAGCCACACATCAACATGTTTTAGTCAACTAAAACTAGCTTTCACAATCAACACCACACATGTGAAAAATTAAGGGACTACACATGCAGAGCCAATATATTCAACACCTAAAGAGATTGTAACTTCCTGAGTTGGGTTTTTTCCCATTGATGTTTTACATCTTGTTAATCCTATAAAAACACAGACTGAGATACTAACTAATGATCCATCTGTATATGAGGAAAATGCAAACTACTTGGGAATTACATAAAGATAAAAACAATAAAATGTGAAAGATGGCTATTCTAGATCCCAATGACCTGCCCAATAATTACTAAAAGACATGATCAATATGCTATTACCCCCCCCCCCGCCAAACAAAAAAAGAAGAAGAAGAAGCCACTTTACAGTTATAGATCAAGGATTTACTTCAGTGGAAAATAGATAACAGTAAACTGCAGCAAAATATCATTAAAGGTTACACAACATACTTGCAATTCAAAACTTCACCAGAGCTAGAATACCCCAGGTTGCTTAATATTACTATACAACCACCATCAAGCCTCTCACGCAAGCGAGCGACATCTACTTTCTTTACTTCACCAGTTGCTCCATAATCAACACCTTCTACAACTCCCCTTCTCTGAAAAAATGTTTAGCAAGAGGCAAAATTATAACATGTTTAGTAGCAGAGCCACTAACAAAAACATGCTTTTGCATGCTATCCAATGTTCTAGATAGATACACACACATATATGCTCATTTAAAGAATAAGAAACATATCCTTACTCATCAGTTCACGGGGGTTTAGCCTCCATCTCAAACATAAGATTAATAATGCACATACTACATCTGAGCTTGAGCCAACATTCAATCAGAAGATTCATCACGGCTAACTACATACACACCACGTGAAAACACAAGAAATCGGATTTGAGATAACGCCTGGTGAGGAAAGGAAAGCATTCGGGCAAGGAAGTCAAACGATACATTGTCACTCGTACGAGGTTACAAAGTTTGGAGACTGGTAAGGTAGAAGAGCTACGTTTCAATAAGCGTGAGGTACGAAGTGGCTTGACCGATAGTCCGAGGGGCGGGAGGAACTTCAAGTGAAAGCGATAAGGGCTCATAACAGAGTTTGAGGAAAGCTTCTGGCAACTAACTCCGTTTGAGGGTACGAAGTAGCACACAACCCAAATCAAATTTTATTTTCAAAACAGAAACATTCTAACCTTGGCTGCAAGGAAGTTCCCGCTAGCAACACTGACACCAACTTCATGCCAACGGCTGCTATCACCATGTCGACGAACATTACAAATAGAAGGCCCAGGAGAAAGCTTAGCCTCTATCATTAGACGAATCCCTCCTGCAGCTTCCGTTGCAGCAGCTAGAGATTCAGGGTCCGTTATTCTATATCTTCCATAATACTTCGGTTCATGCCCTGCAAATTTCCGTGGCTCATTTTAAGTATTACTAATCTACTTATTCGTAAACAAATATTTTTATTCATAGCTAAAATGATATAAACACTGAATTACCAAAGGTTCAAAACTTTGCTAGGATTATAACAATAAAGACAGATAATAGAACAAGTAAACTCAAGTAATAAACATACTACAATGATCATTTCTATAACATCAAGTGAAATAAGAGTAAGACGAAACGATGTCGTTGTTTTGTTGGCTCACCTCTCTCAGCCAGTAGCTTGTCGATTTGCACGTGAGTTCCCGGAACAATAACAAATCTGATCCCTAGATGATGCAGAAACGCAATATCCTGTAAATTGAAAAGAAAAAAAGAAAACTTAAAAACCTGACCATAAAACATCTAAAAGATTTTACTAATTTATTTATTTTGCCTTTAAAACGGGGTCCAAAAAGGGGGAAGCAACGATTTCGCCGGAAATAATAACAACGAAAGTGCCGCCACGGTGAGCCCAGAGGTAAGGCCAAGCCTCACGGAACCACCGCACGAACTGCTTATCGTCGACTGAGTTGTAGGGTTCGTCCACGCTATCATTTTCGTTAATCACATTGCGCTTAACAGAATCGCCTCGCAGGGACCTGGATTCGAGTTTAAGATACTGAGACCAGCACCTCGAGTAAGGTTTCATTGTCACGACGCCGGTTCGGAAGGCGTGGCAGAAAGAAAAGAGTTTGGTAGGAGCGGGTAGGAAGAGAGAACCGCGAGCTGTTGAACATGAGGCGGCCATTGTGACGGCTTTCAATAGTTTGGTCGTTAAAACCTCTCTTTGTGAAAATGGAAAGCAGGAAATAGCGCTGATTATGACACGTTGAAAATATGGGGCCTACGCTGAATTTTTTGGAGTATTTAATTTATGAAATACGAAAACCCTTATAAATTTAATTGTATCTTTTGGAAATAAATTAATGGACTAGAATATGCTAAAAACAATTATTTTGTTCAAAAAATTGAAAGAATTATAAATGAATTCAAATTAAATACCCAATATAAAATGAAAAAGATATTACGTACATGTTACTATGTTCCTAAATAAAAAACGCTTTTGAAAACATTCTCTTTTCCAAAAATCTCACGTTATGAACTTTTTTATTCGCAAGAATGAATTAAATATAAATAGTAAAAGACAGGTTTAAGAGACCAAACATTAATTTTCTTCTTAAAATATTATTTTTCTTCAGTTGGAGAGATATTTGGGAGTGCCTCCTCATGAATCAAATGGCTAATCCCCCGCATAGGGCCGACACCCTAAGCCGACAAATTGGCGTCGGTCCACCTGAGACCATTTGATGTCCTACCATGTCATTATTGCTATTAACTTAGATAGTATAATAGTATATCCAACAGCATATACAAGGAAACAAAGACTCACGTTTAAATTGTACAAAAAAAAAACAGTGAATTACATGATATTATTTATTAGTAATTTTAGTTTGAAAATAGGGTTTATTTCTCTGTATTTTTAAAAAATATTTTTAACTCACGTGATACATCCTCATACTCAATTCATTTCAAAGTATAAAAATATATGTACTGATGCGAAAAAAATTACCAAATTTATGAACGAAATGAAACTTCATCCCTATATTTTAATTATGTAAATGAATTCGTAAACTTGAAGATCGATGGAATTGAATCTTAATTAGAGAGATTGAAATACCTTGAGAATGGAATCCAAGTAAGGACTGGCGACAATTTCGGCCGACAAGAGCAAAACAAACGTGTTTCCTCGATGCAAATAAACGTATGACTGAGCCTCCCTCAACGCTTCCACGAACCTCATGTCTTCCTCCGCCGCATCGCGAAACTTCCCCAAGCAGCCATTGATGATTTTCACTTCACCGTTAGTGACTGATATTGGCCCAATTTTCTTCCTCGCCCCTTTCCCTTGCAAATCTTGGTTAAACACGCCCCTTTTAAAGCTCATGAAACTGCCCAAACTCCATTTATAGCTGCATGAACTGCAAATTACCGCTTGATTTTGTAGGGAGTTCCATGCTTGACGAGGATTGGCTTTAACAGCAGTCGCCATCTCTGTACCAGTTCTGGAGCCTTAAGGTTTTCTTCAGGGGAAAAAACATAAAAACGCAGAAAACGCGGCTAAACGGTGGAGTGAAGAGGTGTGTACTGGAGAGCGAAACAGACGGCTTCAACCAAATTAAAATGAAAAGGGACAAAAACTAAACCAAGAAGGAGCTAACTGACCAGGGAATCTAGGCACACTTGTTCGGACTATTTAGATAATAATGATAATGGTGGCCCCCATGGCTGCTCTTCTATTCGTTTTTCGGTTCATCGGCTTAATTTTTCAGAGTTTTATTACTTGATAAAAAAATAATATACACCAATTTTATATCTTCATGATTCTGGGAATTTTATAAAGTTGATTTGAAAGAAGATTTTTCTTTTGTATTCCAAGAATAAAATATTGGTATAATATTTTTTTTTCATTAAGAAAAATGTTTGTAATACGTGACTTATTGTAAGACTAAGTATATATTCAACTGCAACATGACGAGAACTGAGAGCGGAATATCTAATCCTTGAGGTTTTACGGCTTTAAGCTACATTAGCTTTTGGTATAAAGGAAAGTTCTTTCTTTACAAGAAAGAGGGGAATCAAATTATGCTAGATTAAGTTCCAAAATTCAGTAAAGTATAGGGACTAAATCCATAATTAAACCACTAAAATTTAAAATATAGCTTACTTACAACAAAAACCAAAACGCCGTTGCCGGGGATCGAACCCGGGTCACCCGCGTGACAGGCGGGAATACTAACCACTATACTACAACGACTTGATGTTTTATTAAGCAAATGTTGACTATAAAATAGTAAAGTAGAAAAGAGGAGGCTTTATAATGTCGCTGCAAATTCCAAAAATCCTGACTATATTATTTTTTTCCCGTTGATTGCCTTTGAAAATGAGTTAAGAGGTTCCTCTATAGCTTTGGATTTCCAATGAATTCACTTGTATTCATTAATTGATGCACTTTTTGGGAAGAAATGTTACTTGAGATATTATTGTATGACATTTTCAAATATACTGCTCCATCATAGATGATTGAAAGAAACTCTAAGCCTTGGTCTTTGTGGAACATCTTTATCCACATGGATCGGTGCATTCTACAGCTAGTTCAAGTTTAATTTTCCTTTGCTCCCATACAAGTTAATGGAATGGATGGGGGAGCATATGTTCTTTCAATTCCATAATAAAATGACATGTGGATTGCAATGTATTTTTTTTAAGCCAATGTAATTATGCAATCTCATTTGCTAATTGAGGGAAGCATCCTTCAAATAAAGAAAAAAAAACATTTACACATGATAAAGAATACTAAATGTAATCTAATTGCTTCTTATCTCATTGAAATTTATCTATGAAATGAAAATCATATTATAAGTTTAAATTTTTAAATATTTTTATAAACAAGTTAAATAAAATAAAATATATGTATATTATAATAACTTATACAATTTATCCTACGTTATTCTTCTTGTGATTATTTTTTAAGTGTATCACTAATACTTAATTTATTGATTAACTAATTTAGATTGAATATTGTAGAAACCATTATGAGATAATCTCTCTCAATATAAGTTGTTCCATTCATAACACTAGACTTCAAACATATGATCATATTTGAGAAATATAATACATCATCTTATTAAACCAATGGATAATTAATTTCTTACTCTTCTTATGGGATAATCTCTCTCAATCTATGTATTTAGTCACATAACAATTATATTTTGGTCAACTAACTATTTTTTTCTTCAAAATCATACTTAATGTTATGTTTTGGTTCTGTTTTGATCATCCTCCGTTTAAAATTAATTGTGATATTGACATGTTACCATAAGATAGTGTCATGTCATAATTAAATAATAAAATAAAACTAACCACATCATCAGTTTTGTTTATTTTTTAACAATGAGTGACCGAAACGATACCAAAACATAACGTTAGGTATTATTTTAGAAAAAAAAAACAGATGAGCGAGCAAAACGAAACCGTAAGAATAATTGATTGACTAAATATAAATTTACCCTTATTATAAATACTTTTAAGGCTTTACTTATGGCCCATTGTGTGCCCAAACACGCAATATCCAAAACTGGTTAAAGAGTTAATACTAATAAAAAAAAAGTAAAGGGAAAAAAAAAGACGGGAGAAATTAAAGAGAGCAAAGGCAATCTCATCCCTATCCCTCTCTTGCGGCGGCCCTGCGAGATCTCTCTCGCTTCTGCCTACCTATCGTTTTCACAGCTGAGTTTCAATCGCCGGCGCACCTTATCGGTACCGATTCAGGTACTTTCTATACTCTATATTACAACCTTTGATATCCTTATACTGGAACTTTTCTGTGTTTCTTTTGTGATTTTCTTATTGTTGCTGGTTTATATCATTTAAATGGTTGTAGTCGAATGAGTTGACTGGAAATACGGGGAAAATGAATTTACAGTTTTGGAACTTTTTTTCTTCAAATAGTTCACATACGTGAATTTATCTAGGGTTTATACTTAATAATAATTGAATGTTTTTGTTTTTAATTTTCTTATGATAAATAGTTGTATACTAAAAAAGAAAGATCTGCTAAAATTTCCTTTATCTATATTTGGTTTTTTTAAGGATCTCCGTTGTGCCTGCATATTCATGCTGGAATATTGTTAATAAGGTTTTGATACAGCATTCTTGTTTCTCTTAAAGTAACTTGCAGTTTGAATTAAGGATATAGGGTACAAATTATAGGCTCTGAATAGCTACACGACCTTCTGCAAAATATAAAATGGCACACCGATTGCTAAGAGATCATGAGGCTGATGGCTGGGAACGCTCTGACTTCCCTATCATTTGTGAGTCATGCCTTGGTGATAATCCATATGTTCGAATGGTATTAACCCTTCCCCCTCTCTCTCACACTCTCACACTCTTCATCCCCTGTTTAGGGATTTGAAATTGCATTTTTTTGTGGGAACAGTAAACTAATATTTAATTAACTAAATATGGTTTTTGTTTAGATTTAACCTTTTGTTTTTTCTTTTAGTCATATATCTATACAATGTTAACAATCATGTTTGTGTATGTGAGCAGAGTTGTAAATACAGAAAAGCTTTCAATAATTTGCTCGAGCCTATTCTATTGAAATGAAAATGTAGAATAGCAAATCATTTTTTATGAGATTATCAAATTTGGATCGAAAGGGGCAGATTGTTTGACTTTGCTTTCCTCTTGACTCTTGCAATTTTTTACCAATGAGAACAAGTAAACTTGTTATGCTGTTTGTTTCTACATTCTTTTTTTTGCTTCCAGATCTATGACTTCTATAAACTTAGTTAAAATGAAATAAGATTCTTCAAAATGAATTTTCTGTGTATAAACAACAAGATGAATTACGCTGGCATTTAGGTTTTGATAGTAATTCTAATCGGGCATATTTGAAAATTCCATGGCATGTGTATTTTTATTGTTAAATTGGTTGAGATAACTCAAATCGGCATCTTTATAAGCAGCTAGAAAGGATTATGACAGATTAAGTAGGTTAGACTATGGTTCTGAACCTATAGATTCACTGTGGGCGTGAAGTTTGGATATAATTTCTTTTTGTTTCTTTAATAATATAAATTTCTGTGTTTATACTCTTATGGGTTTCTTTACACGCTGACTACAGACTAAAGCAGATTATGATAAGGAGTGCAAGATTTGTACGCGGCCATTTACAGTCTTTAGGTGGAGGCCTGGTCGTGATGCAAGGTATAAGAAAACTGAGGTTTGTCAAACTTGCAGTAAGCTGAAAAATGTTTGTCAAGTCTGCCTTTTGGATCTTGAATACGGATTGCCAGTTCAAGTTCGGGATACTGCTCTTAGTATAAACTCCAATGATGCCATTCCTAAGAGTGATGTGAACAGAGAGTATTTTGCTGAAGAGCATGATCGCAGGGTATGTATTTCCATGCTTAACAGCTATCTTTTAGTATAATTTTATGAAGAGAGTGAAGTTGCTAAAAGTGTCATATTATATGAAAATCTTTGAGCAAGTTCCCGGTAAACTGAATGCTATCCTTTTGGTTGTCATTGCAGTAGCTGAAGCATGTCAAATTCCATACTTGCTGTAAAAATACTTTACATTTCTATCACACATTAGTAGAGATTTGCACACTGTGAAAGCGGAAACCCTTTTGCTATCTCATGTGCAGGCCAAATACATAAGTGCATCATACATTTTTTCAGTTGATATAGTATACTATATCTCCTCCTTATCCACATAGTGCCTAGAATTTGATTAATGCTAAGAGTTTAATTTTGCGTATTCACTGCATCGCATTTGGTTTTTAGATTTTTGAATTGTCTCATACTGCTTACTATCACTGGATGAAGAATAAATTTCTTATGATGTTTAAAATTTGATGTTGCAGCTTTACCTTCAGATTTTGTTGATTTTTAGAGGCATATAATTTTGAAACAAATTGTAAGATATGGTAATGTTCTCTGGAATTGTTTTTGTAAGTACCAAGTACTGCTCCATAATTGGTAAATCTGTCATTTCTCCACTTTTCTTCTCTATATGCTTGGATGCTTCAAACTATATTGATGTGCAAATGAGATGGAGTTGATAGTTTTAAGTGTGCCTTATTTATTTGTTTTAGATGACTCTGATGGCCTATTTCCTTTGTGTTCTTCTCTTTTGCTTAGTTAAGTAAATTTGTGGATTGCAGGCAAGAGCTGGTTTAGATTATGAATCGTCTTATGGGAAGGTACGGCCAAATGACACTATTATGAAGCTTCAGAGAACAACACCATACTACAAAAGAAACCGAGCACATATTTGTAGTTTCTATGTGCGGGGTGAATGTACTAGAGGTGCCGAGTGCCCTTATAGGCATGAGATGCCGGAAGCTGGGGAGTTGTCTCAGCAAAATATAAAAGACCGCTACTATGGGTAAGCTCTTTCTTTTTTCTTTTTTGAACAATAAAAAGATTAATGAACTTTGCTCTCATCTTATGAGCACTGTCTGGAAGATAGTTTAGGCATTAACCCTTAAAGAACACCCCTTCTTATTTGGTCACAGTGTTGGGATGGTCTTGTCATGAACATAATTTTATTTAGCCTTTTTAACAGCATGTTCTTTTCCTCACTGGTTCTGCCCTTTTGTGTGAATTTGTTGTGTTAATTATCAAATGTGTTTGGCCGGGAAAAGCGGTGTTACAGGTCATGAAGGCATGAACTATTCTGCCTTTGTGTTTTTTAGTTTTTTGTGTGAATTTAGATATTAATGATAATGCTGCAATTTATCAACCCAACGTAATATGCTTACACAAGGAAATGATGCTTTTCATGCATATGATGCTTTATAATATTGTGAATGACTGTCTCTATTGATGCCCAGGGTGAATGATCCTGTGGCACTAAAGCTACTTGACAAGGCTGGTGAAATGCCTTCTTTGGAAGCTCCCGAGGATGAAAGCATCAAGACACTTTACGTGGGTGGGCTGGATAAAAGGATTACTGAACAAGATTTAAGGGATAACTTTTATGCCCATGGTGAAATTGAATTGATAAAGATGGTCCTTGACAAGGCATGTGCTTTCGTTACGTACACAACCAGAGAAGGTGCTGAGAAGGCTGCAGAAGAGCTTTCTAGCAAGCTAGTCATAAAGGGTCTTAGGCTAAAGCTAATGTGGGGTAAGCCCCAGGCACCAAGACCCGATTCAGAGACCTCGGATGGAGCCAGGCAGCAAGCAGCTGTGGCTCATAGTGGAATGTTGCCCCGAGCTGTAATATCTCAGCAGCAGAATCAATTCCAGCCATCTGGGCCTGGCATGCAGGACCAACCCCCACCTATGCAGTATTTTAACATCCCACCACCACCTCAGCTGGACAGAGCCTACTATCCATCAATGGATCCTCAAAGGATGGGTGCCCTGGTTCCGTCCCATGATGCGGAGAACAAACCTGGACCAGAAAAACAAGGACAACATTATCCCTATCAAGCTATGCAGCTGCCACCACCTGGACAATATCCTCATCAGCATTATCCACCATATGGGTACATGCAACCAATGCCACCTTATCAGCAGTATCCTCCATATCATTCAGCAATGCCTCCGCCTCGTGGCCCATTGCAACAGTATCAACATTCTGGGCCACCAAGGCCTCCACCACCTGCGATTGCCCCTTCAACAAGCGCACCACAAGCATCTACATCATCATCCGGTTCTGCCCCTGCAGCGCCAGGTCCATCAGCTGAGTCTGGTTCATCTCATTAGTTAAGGTTTCACAAACTGTTGCTTTTGCTAATGTAAGAATATAACCTGGTAATTGTCAGCATTATTGTCTTGACTTCAAAAACATATTTGCTTATCTTTTTTTTTTGTGAACTAGTATGTTATTTGTTTTTCTCCGGACATTTGTTGTGGATGTAATGGATTGTTATGAAATCTTGGACCAAATACTGAATAAGGAGACTTACGCGATCGAACGGTTCTTGAAAACGGAATTGAATTGATTTCTAAACCACTGAAATACCTAAGAAAGCAAGAATAAACAAATTAGAATAATATCTAGAAAGAATTTTGTTAAAAGAGTGAGTTAAAAAATGTGTTTCATCAAATCCGGTTAATTTTGCACGCGTGATTTCGAAATTTGTTCAAATCCTCTAAAATTGTAAAAAAGAAATCCATTATTAAAGTTACGAGGTTGAATCTACTTATTTTAAAAGAAGCTGGTTAAATGTGTGATCACAAACTTGAATTCATGACTACAAATATCTGTCGAAGAGAATCGTTGAATGTTACTATGCCCCTTCTTGTTGTAATTTGAATTGATAAAAACGATCTGTAATTAAATTTTTAAGATTTAAAACCCTAGCAAATAGGAGTGTGACCAAAAACTTTAAATTTGAATTGATGACCAACTTTAAAAAATCTATCAAATATTGAATCTTTACTTCATGAATGAACTTAGATTATAAAGTAAATAATTAATGTTCCAGCCTTGCATGTATTTATAGATTGGAGACTTAACCTAAAAATAATTTTACTTGAATCTACTAAGTGATCTCAATAGCAAAAGAAAATGTTATTCTCAGAGGTCATGAGTTCAAGCAGCTACGTATGTAAGATGTGTGTATCGTATAATCACCTCATACTATTAAAAAAATCTTTTTACTTGAGCTTTAAGTACAAACTAACACAAATAAACTTTGCATGCTTTCTTAATCCTCATTTGACTAGGTTAGAATGTAGCCAAGGACCAAGTCAAAATGCCTCTCCATACATATGTTTGGCATCTTGCCTCCTAACATTAGGGTTGAGTAATAAAATTTGATTAATTTAAAATCAATCCAAATTTTAATACTTAAATAATTTATAAGTTTATAAATTATAATTACCTAGATGGAATTATATTTTATTTATTTTATAATATAAATATAGAGGTTTTATATTTTAAAAAAATAACTTAAAAATATAATATAAGAACTACTAGATTCTTTATTTTCTTGAAAATTAATTTTTAAGAAATATTTATGAAAATCCCTTTAAACTTTATCAAATAATATTTAAAAGTAATAAAATATAGTTTTTTATTAAAATAAAATAAAGTTAATTTATTAAAATAAAAATAGAAAAAATAAAAAATAAAAAATAAATATAAAAATTGAAAATCAAAATTAATAGAACCAAAATTTAAAAAAAATAAAAAAATAAAAAGAAATGAAACGAAACAAATACATCCTTACCTAGGCGTAAGCAGAACTCGACTCGAAACAATCAAATTTTTCGACTCGATTTCAATGCTAAAAAAACTCAATTTGACTTGACTTGTAATTTTATAAACTCAACTTTTAAAAAATTCAAATAAAGTTTAAGTTGCAAAATATGATTCGAATAACATTATAAATATTTTCAATTAAATTTAAATAGAAATTCAAACAACTCGATTCAAAAAAATTTAAATAAAAAATTAAATTATAAATAAAACTCATCAACTAAATTAAATTAAAAAATTCTAAAAACTCAACTCAACTTTATTTGATAGAATGCTCACCTCTATCCCTGCCAAAGATTAACTCAAAGCTTTGTGACATATACTTGCATATTATCATATCTCTCCATGTGCGTCCATGTACCTTAGTTTATTTTAGGGTAAACTACACTTTAGTACATAAATTAATACTTTCATTTTGTTTTAATATCCAAACTTTTTTTTTTAAATCATAGCAAATGTTTACTTTAGGTCTCAATTTGGTATTCACCGTTAAAAAATTAACAGAACTGCTAACGTAATTTTTTTTTAATTTTTTCAATGATGATGTGGCATTATCTTATAGTGACATGTCAACATCACTGTTAAGTTTTTAACGTTAGGGTACCAAAATGAAATCTAAATTAAAAGTTAGGTATGCTTTAAAAAACGTTTAAGTACCAAAACGGAACAAGAGTAATAGTTTAGTTACTAAAGTACATTTTACCCATTATTATAATATGATTGCAGTCGGTTTTAATTTGGTCGAAACAATTAGAGGTTTGAACTGTACCACTTCCCCTGCAAAGCATTAAACAATTAACGTTTGTCCTAAAAGATTGAACCTGAAGATATTCAGTTACCAAATATCTGTCATGATGTGTTCGTGATGGCTCATTATTAAAACGCCTTCTCAAGCTTTAACTTTACATTACTACCTTTGTAGGACTGTTATTTAGTAGGTTGTTAGGGAAGAATAAAAAAACATGCATATTTAAAATTTTAAAAATAAATAAATATATATATATATTAGTAACAATATATGTTAATAATAAATTTCAAAAAAATGATTTTAACCAATAAAATTATAATTTTAGTGGCAACATTGTTATAAATTAAATTAAAATCAAGATTTATGTCTTGTATAATGGATAAAGGACATTACAAGTTCCTATATTATATAAAAAGGTCCATTTAAATCTTTTTCTTCCATATGATCGAAATCTTTCTTTATCGTTGTTTGAATGTCGTCAAGCATCATTTATGATGTAATTAATATCAAAATATTATCTTCTCTATCTCTTTCTTTTTCTTAATTTATTTTTTCTCGAAATCCTTTTAAAGTTGATAAACTCACATTAATGCTTTAACTTATATTGCTCCAATCTACAACCTCCATGGTTTGATGAACGATGAGTCAAGATATATTTCTTTTAATTTATCTCCTTCTTAACCTTCCTTTATTCAAACTTAAAAGAAAATATGCTGACGTTAGTAAATCAATGGGAGTCTTTCAAGGGATTTTTTCTCATATATTTACCAAAGAAATTTAAATGATGGTTTACACTTAACAATCGAGTGACTAAAACGGAAATAATTCAAAATTTAATGATGAAATTAAAAACAATTAAAGTTGAATGACAAAAACAAAAGTTCAAGTAAAATTGAGTTACAAATGTTCTTTTATCTTTTTAAATAGCATGGAAATTGATATTGCATTTACATATTTAAATCATATAAATTCAATAAGAAATATCAATAATAAATGTAATCCAACTTTGATTAACTAACAATCGTGAGAACCTTGCAACGCACCGGATCAAATCCACAGTATGGTTATTTAGATGACAGCTGAAAGCAAATCATACAAAAAAATGCAGCCCCCAAGAAAAATTTGATGTCCACGAAAGATCCATTGAAACCCAAAGGAGGGAAAAGCCAAGTTTATGATTGATCAATTATTTTCACTTTCAAACTCAGAAATTTAAACAAATCATTATTACCAGTTTTCTAAAAAAAAAACATTTGCCAAAAAGGCCATTTTAAGTGGAGAGACCACTACCATTTGTTGGAACCTATATGTCGTTTTTTTTTTATTTGGATGGAGGTGGTATTTGAATAAAATTCCCTCGTATTGATGTTGAAAATTTTAAATTATAGTATATTTTTTTAAAAAAATTATGTATTTTTTATTGAAAATATATTTTTTGTCCTCTTCAAATTTTATAAATTTATCGTCTCTTAAAATTTTAAAGATTCATCATCTAACATAAAACCTACGATGTTGTGATGTGCAAAGTGACGGATGCAAGTATGATTCATAGTGGATAAATACTTACTGTGAAAATGACAAAAGGATCATTACATTTGTAATCTTCTAAAAGTCCAAATGGTTTTTACATCTAACACGAACTCTACCTCTCTAAAATCTACGAGAAAAAGATAACAATACCATGAAGGTGTTGGAAAGAGTGAAAGGAAAGGCTTATATATATATATATATATATATATATATAGTTGCTTGCTTTTTATTGGTGGAGACTGGGAAATGGTGTAGAGAGTGACAGAAGAAGCATGCAATATGCAACTGTGCATTGCAATTCAAATTCCAATCTCTGCAATGCTCTGCAACGCTGGCCTCCATTGCCCACCTCCGCCCTGATGTCTGCCCGTGTACCTACCGCCACCGCTGCTTCCGGCTCTATTAACTTCCTGCTCCACCTGAAAAATATTAAAGGACAAAAACAAATAGACGATGGCAGCCATTAGACAATGAGAATTCCATGGAACTTTTGTTTGGAGGGTTTCCATTACCTGATTTGCATGAAAACTTTGTGGGCTCCCCTATTCAAATTTATCCTATTCATTGACCTTATCCATTCATTTGCATTAGACCACGCCATACGGAGAAGACAAGATATTGGACTAAATTCTCATGGACCAATTTATCACCCACCTAAACCTAGTTGTTTAATTAGGCTTTTTAATAGGCACACACGTGCACACCTTCACCATTAATTGCATACAACATCAGGTTGAGAGCAGCTTTCGTAGAAGACCTCCGAATTATGAAATGCCCTCTGTGGGACTCAATCCCACAACCTCAAGGTTAAAAGCCTTGTGTTCTACCAATTGAGCTGAATAATCATCTCTTATAAAGTACTTTTTCATGCTAACAACAATTAAAAATACTTTAGAGTAACTACATGTTTAGTGTCCCAACTATCAATTTTATTTTATTTTGATCATTCAACTATTATTTTTTATAAAATCATACCTAACATTATATATTTTTTATTTTATTTTGATCTCTCGTCATTAAAAAAATTAAAAAAATGACAATGTAACATTTAATTTTTTTAATGTTAATGTGACATTATTTAATGATAATATGTCAGTATTATCATTAATTTTTTAACGATTAATAATCAAAATAAAATTAAAACTTAATATTAAATACGATTTAAAAAATATTTAAATGAAAAAAAGAATTGATAGTTAGTCCAAAAATTTATAATGTATGATTAGTGACACATCTAACACTCAACAATAAAGGGGAAAGTGTCAAATTCCACCAAAACAATTGGTTAAAGAAGATTTTCAACATAAAGGTGTGTTAAATGTTAATTAAACTATTATCAAAGAGAAATTTGCCTCGAGATCTGTCATTTAAAAAAGGTTCAGATTCTTCTAAGTTTTCAGACTACATTTTTAAACTTATCAACTCATAAAGATAAAAGTGGGGTGGCAAATATTACACCCTTTGCAGATGAAGATCTTGCCTTTCACTTTTTTTATCTACTTTTCAGACCATAAAAAGTTTACTTTTTTTTCTGCCTCGAAATGACAAACTCTGCAGGAAAAAAAAAAGACTTGAAGCAAATGGCCACATAATTGGGGTTATGAATTAAATTTCTTGAAACTCGAGACCCAAGTTAATACTATACTTGTTTCAGAAGCTTAGCTCATCTTTCCTGAAAAGTTTTTGTTAATTTTCAGGAAACTTGAAAGGGTAGTTCAAGCGTACAGTGTTCTAAGGCTTTGAGCTTAGTTTAATTACCTTAACATCACTGCTGTTCTCAGGTTTCGAGTTAATTTTCGGTTTCATATTGGAAGCAGTTCTTGGCAAATCCTTTCTCTTCAACTCCATGCCAAGCCCAAGCCCTCCATTTCCTTTCAACAGTTTCCCAAGTTTTACGCACTTCTTTGCAGCAAATTCTTTCAAAACATCTGCTCAATATCAAGCACGTAAGAAAACTAAAAAGAAACGATCCTTTTTCAAAGCTATGCATGCAAGAGATTAAGCAGTAAGCAACGGAACCACCTTCAAAGCTGACGAGTCGATAAACATGGCCGATCAACAAAGTGTCATCAGGTTTCAACAGCTTGAGCTGCTTCACCGGCGTACCATTTTCGTTCTTCAAAGTCGGGGAGGTCACCACGAGTGCAACATAATGACCCGGATTCAAACCCATGATTTCATTAGCACTAACAGACCAGTAAATCCTCTCGATCTTGTTCCCCGGGTGTTGAATCACTACGGTGGCTGCCTCAGCTGCTTGACAGTTCCCCATACGATCTTTTTTTTTCTCTTCACAATAAAACTTGAAAACCACAACAACTCTGAAAACAAACAATGAAGGTATATTGTGTTTTTATGGAGCACCGTGACTGACGTTGAATAATTAAAAGAGGAGTTTTAGAAAAAGGGAAATGAATTAAAGGGGATGGCTTGAAGAGGAAACAAGGGAGGTGGAGGTAGTTTGGGGAAATGATGGAAGGCAAGGGCCAAGGGTGGGTTATATGATGAAAAAAGGAAGCGTAAATGCGAAACAGTGGGGGAACTGGATTTTCATTTCGTGCGTTTACTTATACTTTGGGTCAGATGTTGACCCAATTACATGCTTAATTGCATCCACATATGGAAATATGCTGTCCTAACAAATTTCATTCGCCCAGATTTGGAATTTAATTTTATAAATTTAAATGTGTTTTGCAAAGGGAGACGTGTTAGATATGCAAAAAGGGGCCTGGGTAGCGTCTGCCAAGTGTGATTGCATCTTCATTTTCCAATTGAATCAGAATTATTATGGTCTGCTGATGCAGGAAGCTTTGCCTTTTCTTAATTGGAAAAGGACCATCCACTGGTCCCACTTCACATTCCAACCCTATCCTATGCCCCTATTGTTTCACTTCACATTCCAACCCTATCCTATGCCCCTATTGTTTAACCAAGGGGAGGAGTAATGCATGTTTTGTGGGGTAGTTCTGCGGTGTGACGCCTAAAAAATGGTTAATATACGGCGTGATCGATTAAATAAGTAATCAGTTAAAATTTAAACCGGTTATGTTATATTATTTAACCGAAAATATTATAAAGTACAATAACATATTAGGTAGCGCTTATATAATGTAATAGGTAACGCTTATATTTACCTATTTTATAAGTAAACCGGTATATTTATACCGATAGCATTACAAATTTACCTATTACATTATAATATGTTGAAAGTGTCCATACTTTTTATAAAAAGATCGATACTTTTTTTAAAATTATGTAATTTATGTTTCAAATTTTTTTAATAGTATTTCATGTTTTCCACCTACAATATTAATTTAATAATTTCATTTGCACAAAAAATTATTTGATTGTTTTGATATTTTATAAAATAATAATTAGAATTTAAATTTAACAATATTAACCAAAGATAATAATAAATATGTAATATATATGTTTATTGTTTTTAATTTAATAATAATATATATCGTAACGTAAAAAATAAATCATTAGACGCCTATAATTACTAAATTAATATATTAAAACTCACTCAAAAGATAACCTTAAATTAATGTTTTCCACAGTGAAAAAAGTATTGACACATTCATAAAAAAGATAGATACTTTACAATATAAGCACTACCTATTACATTATATAAACGATACCTATTACATTATATAAGCGCTACCTATTACATCATATTTTTACCTATTATATTGAAAGTGTCCATACTTTTTATAAAAAGGATCGATACTTCTTTTAAAGTTATGTAATTTATGTTTCAATTTTTTTAATAGTGTTTCATGTTTTCCACCTACAATATTAATTTAATAATTTCATTTGCACAAAACCGGTATACTTGTACCGGTTAGATTGAAAAATTACATATTACATTATACTTTTGGTTTTCGATGTTTTTGGGATCGACACTTTTTATATATGGATCGACACTTTATGGTTGCACCCTGTTTTCCATTCATTCTGGACCAAAAATATCGACACAAACTAAAAAAATGTCGACACATTATTTAGACATATTCTCTCATAAAACCGGTATACTTGTACCGGTTAGATTGAAAAATTATATATTACATTATACTTTTGGTTTTCGATGTTTTTGGGATCGACACTTTTTATATATGGATCGACACTTTATGGTTGCACCTGTTTTCCATTCATTCTGGACCAAAAATATCGACACAAACTAAAAAAGTGTCGACACATTATTTAGATATATTCTCTCATAAAACCGGTATACTTGTACCGGTTAGATTGAAAATTACATATTACATTATACTTTTGGTTTTCGATGTTTTTGGGATCGACATTTTTTATATATGGATCGACACTTTATGGTTGCACATGTTTTCCATTCATTCTGGACCAAAAATATCGACACAAACTAAAAAAGTGTCGACACATTATTTAGACATATTCTCTCATAAAACCGGTATACTTGTACCGGTTAGATTGAAAAATTACATATTACATTATACTTTTGGTTTTCGATGTTTTTGGGATCGACACTTTTTATATATGGATCGACACTTTATGGTTGCACCTATTTTCCATTCATTCTGGACCAAAAATATCGACACAAACTAAAAAATTGTCGACACATTATTTAGACATATTCTCTCATAAAACCGGTATACTTGTACTGGTTAGATTGAAAAATTACATATTACATTATACTTTTGGTTTTCGATGTTTTTGGGATCGACACTTTTTATATATGGATCGACACTTTATGGTTGCACCCTGTTTTCCATTCATTATGGACCAAAAATATCGACACAAACTAAAAAAGTGTCGACACATTATTTAGACATATTCTCTCATAAAACCGGTGTACTTGTACCGGTTAAATTGAAAAATTACATATTACATTATACTTTTGGTTTTTGATGTTTTTGGGATCGACACTTTTTATATATGGATCGACACTTTATGGTTGCACCTGTTTTCCATTCATTCTGGACCAAACATATCGACACAAACTAAAAAAGTGTCAACACATTATTTAGATATATTCTCTCATAAAACCGGTATACTTGTACCGGTTAGATTGAAAAATTACATATTACATTATACTTTTGGTTTTCGATGTTTTTGGGATCGACACTTTTTATATATGGTACACTTTATGGTTGCACCATGTTGGCCATATTGCAAATTTGCCTTTTACTTTAAAGTATCAACATGACCCTTAATGTGTATAAGAAACATGTACAACAACATACTGCTAACTTTTCTCATCTCATTCATAATTATATTCACATACAAAATTATAAATCGTATACAAAATTATAAATCTTATACAAAATTAACCATACATTTACATCATTGCATCTGTTTGTTATTCTTATGCATCATGGCAGCTTTTGTTATCTCCTGTCTTCGTTCATTTTGATTGTGGCTTACGAGATTGTTTAATATTCGCGATCGATCCCACTCTCCAACAACCTATATTCAAATTGTCAGAACGTTAAGTATTGTCAACTACATCATTCAATCTACGACTTTTAACAATTTTACCACAAACGAATTTTTCTTTCCACTTACAAAATCACCAGTTGCCCCTGTAGAACCGATCGATTCCATCCACATCATCACATACATGCCGCAATCATGTCTGTTACAAAATTTGAAAACCACACATGTCAATTATGATGAATACTGCATAAATTAAGCTTTCTATTTGTGATAACATCTCATACCATTCAATTGCTTATTCTTCTTATGCTCCACAAATTTGAAATTTTTCAAGGGATACTTTCCTAGAGATCCACAGGATTCAACCCAAATGCGTTTCTTATTATAAGAATCTAATATTTTAATCTGTATTAAAATAGAAGAAGTTATGATCCAAAAAAATTATGCATTATAATTTACATAATGTCCTTTCATACATACATACATATCAATCTCTTAGCATCCTTCACTCTCTGTTTAGCTGCTTCAGTTGTAAACATACTATCATATATTGTTGCAACACGATCTACCATATCCAACACCAACAGATACCAATGTGAATTATGGTAGTTTATTGTGATCATGATCTGCAACAAATTTCACACCCAATTTGAAAAAATTCAACATTCTATATCCGAAAACATCATTTGCAATTGGTATGGTGTCTTACCTTCTCACAGTCGGTGAATTTCACATAGTTATTCAGTATGGGACCCCAGAAGGTAGCAATACTCTCAACACTTTCTTTGCTGTTGGCATCCAACGCCTGCTGCTGCAATTACGCAACAAACATTATTAATTTACCGTCTATAACACTACTTATCTCCATTTATTAATTTAACTCACCGCTAAGTGGTATGGAAGGTAGCCAATCCTCCGGAGTGACTTCTGAGAATCGTAGCATACTGTCCAGGCGAGCAAATCAATAACCTAACAAAATTAATTACACAATCAGAACATATTCAATAAGTTTTAACATTTTCTACTTTCTACTTACCACACCGCCAACCCATTCCGTAGGTTTCAACGTTACAACGTCGTATACACTAGCGAATTGATTTCCCATTGAGATTACAGAATATCTGTATGAATCATTAGGATTAATATGTTGTCATGAAATATTTAAATATAACTCACAAAGCAATATATTTCACTTACTCCGATTCTAACTCACTATTCCATAAATAATCACAAATTGCAGCTTCGATGTCATCAATTCCGCTTGGAATATCCGTTTTTTCAACCTACAATTTTGCATACAAATTTTTGTCACAACAACATAATAAAAATCAAATTAAGTTTTCTTTTATTCAACTTACCTTCTGCTTCTTCTTCTGGGGTGCAGGACATTTCGAATCCAAATCTGCTGCTATAACACTCTCCGGTGTATAAATGACATCGACTTCCTTCCTCCTCATTTCTTTCATCTCTTCTTCTTCCTCATCCCTCTTTTCTTCTTCATATTTTTTCAGTTCATCGTATTTTTTTTCTACATAGCTCTTCATCTCTTTTATTTCACCCTTCAATTGATCTCCTTCATCCAAGTATTTATCAACCACCCCCTTCATCCCCGTAAGTTCACTCCTCAATTCCACAACCTCCTTCACCACTCCCTCAAATTTTTCACCCGTCACCATCTTAATATCACCCCTTAACACCCCAACTTCTTTCACCACTTCACCCCTCAACATCTCTACTTCTTTCACCACTCCATCTATTTTTCCTTCCACTACCCCCTTATGCCTCTCAAGTGTATCTTCAACTCTCTCAAGTTTCTCTTCGACTCTATCAAGTTTCTCTTCGACTCTTGATTGTCTTTGCATGATATCAAATTGGATTTTTTTGATATCAGCCAATTCAGACATCAAAATTTTGAAGTTACTATGTTTTCCCTCACCGTCGTCCCACTCACCGTCATCCCCCAATACAACCATCCCTCCTTTCTTCTCCTCTGCCTCCACTGCCTCCTCTACATCCTTGCCAATAACCTTCAAAATTAAATTACAATATTAAGACATTG